AAAGTGATAATATTTTACAAATATCAATCAATGATTAGTAACGTAGAACTTCGTACATACGTAAGTACATCAGTTCAGGTTGTCATAGCACATTAGCACAGAGATGTAATTGTCAATAAAATCTCATGGTAGGAGAGGTAGTAAAGGTATTAGCAGTAATCGGAAAGATTAGGGAGCGAAGATATGATTTGAGAGGTATAATTCAGTGAAAGATAGAGATGATGAAGAATTCAGGAGGTTAGGATTTCAGCGAGCATAATTAATGAATGCACCTAAGCCAATGAAAACGATTTTGAGACATGTCGCTCAAGGTCGTCTCTAACCAGCCATTACCATCATCCAGCGGACCCCGACCAGGTAGTCTACATCTACCAACATGACTCAGTCCACTTGTCAGTGATTTCATGGATTTCTGCCATGTTTTGGTCTGGCCGATCCTAGCTTTCGTCCAACCTATTGCTACACCACAAAACATCACTCGACGAGGCAGTCTGTGGTTAGGTATACGTAACACATGTCCCGAACACCTCAACTGATGAAGTTTCATTACTACATCTATTGATTTGCCATTCTTACCTAGCACCCGTTTCCTAATAACAGCGTTGCTCAATCGGGTGTCCAACGATATACGAGCAATGCTTCGAAGACACCTATGATCGAAAACCAGTAACCTACGAATATCTTCTAATCTCACTGGCCATAATTCACAGCCATAAAGTAGGACGGAGCGAACTACTGAGCAGTAGACTCGTCCTTTAGTCAGCAAACGAATATCTCGCCTACGCCTTAAATGACAAAGGTTGGCAAAAGCCAATCGAGCTTTCTGAATCCGTGCTGAGATTTCGCCAATCACCAGGCTATCGGCACTGATGAGGTTAGGGTTGGAATATATTATTCAAAAAGTATATCCCAGTGAAATAAACTTGTGGACAGAAAAATGGTCACAAGGGATTCATAAGATTAACATTTGAGGGAATGAAAAAAAATAGACGCATTTGCGCCAATGCAACCGATTTGCTAATTTCCTTGTACTCTAATGACTGTACTATCACGTGTGAAATATGTTAGTTTTGATCGATTCAAACACACACACACACCTGTGCCAATGAACGTAATCTCCTGACCACTGACTGACTGCTTTATCAAACATTAGATATACTGATACATTTCGAATAACAATTGTTTACGTAAAATACTTCAGATTCGCCGGTCAGACACCATCATCAACAACCTACTGCAGGAAAGAACAAACCAGATTCCAGTGGAGGAGGAAACCAGGAAGAAGCAGTGGAAGTGGATGGGATACACAATGAGGAAAGCATCCAACTGCATCACAAGACAAGCTCTTACTTGGAACCCTCAAGGTAAAAGGAAAAGAGGAAGGCCGTAAAACACATTATGCCAAGAAATAGAGAAAGATATGAGAAGAATGAACAAAAATTGGACAGAACTAGAAAGGTAAATACAGGAAAGAGTTGGTTGGAGAAAACTGGTGGGCGGCGCCTATGCTCCATTGGCGGTAACAGGCGTAAGTAAGTAAGTACGTATACCATAAGGCATTTTCCTTAATATACAAAATACAGCACATACTTAGCTAAATTCTCCAATGATTACTTCTATTTACAATAATTGCAGAAATATTACTGATTACAGTTTTTCTGTGATATAAAAATGAGTCATCTAATGCAATGAAATCCCAATAGATTTCTGAAATAAATTACCAGTCATCATCATAAAAGAAAATTTGTTAACACCCCAATAAATGAACTGGTATTCATTCATCTTGTATGTTGATATTCTAATCTATTTTCTACCTGAGAATGTTTTGTCCTGAGGGATGAAGAAATCTCCACCATCCAAATTATCCAGGTCAAAGAACAAAACTTCATCATAAACTTGTAGTGCCTCCACTTATAATATTCCAGTTCGCTTACATCTCTAATTTGGTTAAGCCCTTTCGATTAATTAATTTATTTAACCAAGTCATTTGTATTGGGAGCAACAATCTGTATGTACCATTCGTTCTTATTATTGTCTGGTTTGTATGGTGAGCTCACATGACGTGTTCCACTTGTCATTTGACCTTGTCACTCATTCGTCCCTTTTATTCATGTGTGTGCATGTCTATTTCGTTGAACACATGTCTGTCTTATTTTTGTCTGATGATATACATTCTTAGTCATGCTCTATCTCTGGGAGTTGGCTCACTAGCCTTATCCAACGCGCTTCGCCTGTTCATCCGCTTCCTTCGCCCACTCGTTCACATTGTAATTCTGGGAGTTGGCTCAACAGCCTTCTCCAATTCACGTCGCTTCATTCGTTTTATTCACTGCTTCTTCGCTTCGCTTTGTGGTGTGTCCAAAAATAAACGTATTCAACACCACGAGTTCACGTTCTGATTTATAAAAAACGTCAGACGCTATTTAGTAACGATTGTCTGTCTGGACGAGCTGATTACCACCGAGGTTAAGAACACACGCAGTAAATTGACACACTACAAACTCTTTAGTTTTTTTATGCATTCAAGTATTAAGGTTCACAGGCTATATATAGATTACTGATAACTTCGAAATTATAAGTTGAAATATTCTTGCATTGTTGGCAATTTATTTCTGATAAAAAGTTAGATTCTTAGGTAAGATGATGAGTGAATCATTGTGAGACCACCACCATTAGCTTTTCTCAGTGTGTGTCCTATCCACTTCCACCGCTTATTCATGATTTCCTCCTCCACTGGAATCTGGTTTGTTCTCTCCCACAGTTCGTTGTTGCTGATGGTGTCTGGCCAACGAATACGAAGTATTTTGCGTAGACAACTGTTAATAAACACTTGTATCTTCTAGATGATGCTTTTCGTAGTTCTCCAAGTTTCCGCCCCACACAGTAGAACTGTTTTGACATTTGTATTGAAAATCCTGGTTTTGGTGTTGACTGATATTGGTTTGGAGTTCCAGATATTTTTCAATTGTAGAAATGCAGCCCTTGCTTTGCCAATCCGCGCCCTCATATCTGCATCGGATCCACCTTGATTGTCGATGATGCTGCCCAGATATGTAAAGGTGTTAACTTCCTCCAAGGCATCTGCATCAAGAGTGATTTGTTTGGCGCATGTTGTATTGCATCGACTATAGACCGGAGGGGACCATTAAAAGTTAGGAAATGCTATATTCGACTAGATAAAACATGGACGGAATATTGAATTTTCACTCATACAAAAAAGAAAGCGTCTAGTTCATAAGGTAACTTTATTAAAGAAATCGATTTAGTAGAGTATTGTACGGTTTGATTAAAAATATAAATCATGCAGACAAGTAAAGGGATACTGTTAGGATATTCATCCAATATCCTAAGAGAATTATTGCTCAATTCCTATTGGTCGATTTCTGTTGGTCAAAATTATGGTGGTTTTAACTGTCAAAGTCAAATACTTCAATGTTGTCTCTTATTGGTCATCCGGACTGTCAGTGTCATTTCAAATGTTACTTTCTATTGGTCGTCTTAACTGTCAATAACACACAGTTCGATGCTGTTTCCTATTCCCGGATCCCTAGTCCGGGATCCTGATTCTCTTCTGAATTCGGACCTCGTACATTCGTGATGGTTGTGGAATACACGTTCTACTTCATATTAAGTCTTCTTATTTTTACTCATTATTGGGTGGGGGTGGCTGGGATAATTGGATTTGAGTAGTACGTCGTGTCACCGGATCCTCGATCCTCGTTCTCGTTTTCCGACTAAGTAAACTCGTAATAGTTCAAGTATATCAAGTTGATGTGTTTACGTGCAGGCGTAACAGATACTATAACACTGTGATTATTTTTCTGTTTGAAAAATACAATCGAAGCGTAATCAAGTTAATAACATTTGCAGCCGAGAATGTTAAGGGCGTTTGTTTTACAAAGTTAATCATGTTAAAAATTTAATTTATCTAACTTTATAATGTGGAGTAATCTTTGGTAGACTGCTTCACTTATCTTCGGAGTCTTATTATTCCGGATGAAACGGTATGGGATAAACTCTCAACACGAATACAGAAAGCTTGACTGCCTTTTGTCAACGCTCGCGTCATATATTACTTATGAGTAGCGCGCACCACAGTAGAAGCATTAGCAGTAATCCGACAGATTAGGGTTCAAAGATATTATTCAGATTAGAGAGAACACAAACAGTAGATGCAACCGCGCCATTACAAATGATTTTGAGCCATGTCATTCAAGGTCTGTAACCATCGGTGACTTTCGTCCCGCCGATCCCAACCAGGTAGTCTACACCTGCCAGCATGACTCAGTCGAGTTGTCAGTAACTTCATGGATTTTTGCCATGTCTTGATCTAGCCGCTCCTAACTTTCTTCCAACCTACTCCTACACCACAAAACAAAGATCATCGAGGCAGTGGGTGTTTGGGCATATGTTACACATGTCCCAACCATCTCAACTGATGAAGTTTCAATAGTACCCGTCTCCTAACAACAATTTCGCTTACTCAGTATTCCCAGGATATACGAGTAATACTCCGTAAACACCTACAAATAACCTCTACTCTGACTGGCCATATTTTACACCCATACACTAGGGAAATGAACAAATAACTAAAAATCTCATTACTCTTACTGTGGTGCGCGCTACTTATAAGCAGTATATAACGCGAGTGTCAACGTAATGTCTGGCAGCAGAAGATGGGGGAAAATCAATAAGAAAGGAAGAGTGGGAACACAATGGAATTTGTGTATGAAACGCATGAACAGTAGTGAAATGTCAGACAACAATGGATTGATGATGGATTGAAGATTTGCAAATTAACCGTTTACGATATGGTTTTCCTATTTTATACTGAGTAACTCTGTAATTTTCGTTCAATACAATTCTGGTTGCCCTCACCTATGTTCTCCCTCCACTACATTACTACATACGAAATCGATCCTGATGACTCGATGGTTTAGAACACAACAGAGTGAATAGTTTTGAATGAAAAAAAACGTAGAATCACAACAACACCGAAATAATCTTTTAAACAATTTATATATATTACTGATTTTTAAAACAACAATCTTGTTAAAAAAAAATTGAAAACCATTGTAGATTAATTTAACAAAATCACATTCATTTTGTAACATGGCATCGTAGATTAGATATCGGAGACAATTTCAAAAATACATTCCATATGGAGGACAAGTTGCGCTAACACTTGATCATTGACAAGAATGATACAATCACTACTACTACAATCACAACTACTACAACAACAACTGCTAATACTACTAACAACAATAATAATAAGTAGTAAGAATAGTAGAATATTAAAATATTTAAAAAGTACTTACTCTCAAGGTACTAACTACTAGTAACACATGATTAGATAAAGTTTGACAAAAGAGAAAAAGTAACCAACCAGACAAAATGAAGCTGCTTTTTTAAAAATTAAGTAACAGAATACAAATGCATATATATATAACCAGGAGAGGAGGTTTATTTCTCTCTCTCTTTAAAAGCAGCCCTCACTTGTTCAATTCTCAATGATTCAACCAGAAAAAAAAACGCCAACTCTCGATGATGATTTTGAAAAGTCTGCATGATATGTTGTTGAATGGTAAATTGGAACGCGATTGTTTTGTTTAAAAAAAAGAAGCTTGATTTGATTGAGCAAAAAACAAAACAAATTCGGAATGTGCATCATTGAACGAACACACAGTTGAACATTGACTATATTGAACGTGAATAAAAAGTGTACAATAATGGTTCACTGATTGATTGATTGATTGATTGATTGATGTGTAAAAATGAAACGATAATGACAAATATGATCGGTGGTTTTATAAGTTGTTTAATGAAAGAAAATTATAGAATTCTTGGTTTCTTTTCCGAAAAAAACGAGTACACATTCAAGCACAACGTAGATTTGTACCAGCTTTGATACCTTTGGAACCGAAATTTTTAGTATAACAATCTAAAAAAAATAATAAATTAAGGGAAAAAATCATATTGAAAGAATTGCCAGTACATTAATTAAATTGAATTGATGTCCGTTGGTGGTCGCAGGCAAATCAGTCAATCAGTCAGATGCAACGTAGAACTTAGTACGTAAGTACACATCAGTTCATGTTGCCATACCACATCAGCACAGAGATATAATTGTCAATTCAAATCCAATAGTAGAAGAGGTAGTAAAGGTATTAGAAGTAATCAGAGAGGTTAGGATTAGAAGATATTATTCAAGAAGTATGTGATTCAGTGAGAAAAGTTTAGAAAGTCAAAACTAGAGTTGTTGAAGAATCCAGAAGATTAGAGTTTGAGAGAACACAAAGAATAAGTGCACCGGCACCATTGCAAACGGTTTTGAGCCATGTTATTCAAGGTCTCTAACCATAGATTATTATCATCTCGCGGACCCCAACCAGGTGATAGTCGACAACTACCGACATGGCTAAGTCCACTCGTCAATGACTGACTTCATGGATTTCTGCCATGTTTTGGTTTGGCCGCCCCTTACTTTCTTCCAACCTATTCCTACACTTAAAAACAAAGCTCGACGAGGCAGTCGGTGGTTGAGCATACGCAACACATGTCGCAGGAAAATATCGGTAGGAAACACTGATGAAACTAGAGAGAGATATCTCTACTAGCTGGAACTTGTCACAGTAAGGTATGCATAAAATTTTGAAGGAACTGACTCTTAATATGGGTAGGTGTTCAGTGACCTCGTACAGGACTGAAAAATTTACAGTAATTGACCACAAAAGTATCATAGGAGTACTGGAAGTGGATATGCCACACACATTGAAGAAAGCATCCAACTGAGTTACAAGACAAGACCTCATTTGGGACTCTCAAAATCGAGGGAAAACAGTAAGGCCAAGGAACAAATTACACCGAGAAATGGGGAAAGACATGAGAAGAATGAAAAAAATTGGACAAAACTGAAACGGGAGGTCCTGGACAGAGTAGGTTGCAGGAAATTGGTCTGCGGCCTATGCTTCAATGGGGGTAACAAACTTAAGTAAGTAAGCAATAGTACTTACTGCTGATCGTATTCTTTCAGTCTAGAGTGACTTGAAATCGCACACACTACGTTTTTCTGAATGTACAATAGTTGGAGCAATCAACACTCTCTGTCGTATTCAAACTAAATATCCATCAACTTCACAATCTGACTAGATCATATCCGAATTTCGAACCGGTGAAATCTTTGATGTTTAAACCTTAAATGAGGAACAAAGTGCGCAAAGCACTTTCCTCTAAAAGTTGGTTATAGTATATTTAATAAATTAGATTAAGAAACGGGAGTAATAACGCCTTGTCGTTGAAGGCGATCCAACTCTTCGTCTACTGTTGCTAATGTTGCATGATGTACGGGGTTCTTTGGACGGAAAGCAGGCTTAGCCCCAAGTTTCAACCGTAGTATTGCATTCATGGCAGTACACCGACCTAATCCAGCTTAGAAAATGGTTGAAAACTCCGTCATCAGCTTCTTCGTATACGCTTCTGGGTCATGTCGTTGTGATACCATATGGCATATGGTATTTAACGGAACAACAGCCAATTTCTTGCTAGTCGAACCAATCTATACCATGTAAATTTAGATCAGCTGGCGCTATATAACATACCACAGTAAATGATGAGTTTTGGAAGGCAACTTTACATTCCAATTGGATTGGATCCACTGTTGGCATTTTAAAATCCTTTACATACATCGACATCGTATAAAATACTATGATCAACTTATCAACGTCGTTTGATGCTAACTTAACAGTCTGAGAGTTAGACTTTCGTGCAAGAGACCAAAAAAAGGCCTGAGTTCGATTCTCGCTTGCAGTACGTCCTATGGGCAAACAAAACATCTCAGTCAAGTCAACAACAACAACAGCAACAACATAGAACATCGTATGTACTTACATACATCAGTTCAAGTTGTCATAACACATTAGCACAGGTAGATGCAATTGTCACTTCAAATCCACACGAAACAACTCCTCAGGTAGACCCTTCTGGGGGTACTGCCTGTCCCAAGCCTGGATAAAGGAGGAGGATCGAAATTGAGGTTGGTGACCACATCCCGCGAAAAAACCTAACTCGCTAAAAAGGCGCTAACAAGGAAAAACTAATTTAAACTCTGCTCTTGGAGTTAGAACGTCTTCATTTAGAAGAGTTACGACATCTCATAATGAAAGCTGAGTTCCTTCAGAAGTCACCAGGCCGATGTCCTTTCCGACAACCTGAGCCCTTCCACGCTGAGGGCAGCCGGGAAATAACAACCTCCCTCACACTCATAAAATCACACGAGACCAAATCAGTCTCAGAATCAAATGCTTCCTGTGGTATGTGCTACTTATACGAACGATATAAGTAGTATAACAAGGGACGTGAAAGAAGGAGAATTCGCACGGTCAGAAGAGGAAAACGGAAAACAAATGGAGCAAGAAGTAAATGGAGGAGTACCAACAGGAAGGAAGGAAAGGAAGCAACAACAGGAATGGAAGAAGAAGGATGGAGTGTAGGAAGTCACGACTCAAAGATGGTGTGCAAATAGAATGTATTCAATGTAATGTTTTCGTTTTTAATTGACTCAGAGTGTAAATTTGCAGAATACAATCTTCCTCGCCTGCCTCAGTCTTCTCATTCGTACACCTCATAATTTCAATGTTTACCTACCTAGCAAACATCGGTTAATTCAAAAAATCAAATAATCAAGTAAGTTATCTTGCAGGCCTTTCTCAAATTACAACACTGTCACAGTCTCAAGTGGCGGATTAAAAAGGGCGGAGGCTTGATACATGCTCAGTGAAAAACGACACAACACAACACAAATTATATTATCTGTCAGCCTACACTACAGTGACACAATCAATTTTATTATTTAGTATAGGTTTCATCAAATGTTTTGAGCCATGTCGTTCAAGGTCTCTCACCATTGGTGACTTTCGTCTCGCGGACCCCTACCAGATAGCCTACATCTACCAACATCACTCAGTCCACTAGTCAGTGACTTCATGTAATGCTGCCATGTTTTGGTCTGGCCGCCAATAACTTTCTTCCAATCTACTACACCACAAAACATAGCTCGTCGAGGCAGTCGGTGGTTGCGCATACGTAACACATGTCCCAACCACTTCAACTGATGAAGTTTCACCACTTCATCTATTGATTTGCCAGCCCCACCTAGAACTCATTTCCTAACGACAGCATTGCTTATACGGTTGTTCCATGATACACGAGCAATGCTTCGGAGACATCGATGATCGAAGACTAGTAACCTACGAAAGTCCTCTACTCTTAACGGCCAAGTCTCGCATCCCTCACAGTAGGACGGAGCGAACTGACAACCACAATTTGTGATGTGTGCAGCCGAGAAGTTACATCCTCCCTCATACACATAAAATCACACGAAACCAAATCAGTCTCAGAATAAAAATCCTTCCTACACCTCCTAGTTTCAATGTTTACCTACCAAATATCGGTTAATTCAAAAAATGAAATGATCAAGTAAGTTATCTTACAGGCCTTTCTCAAATTACAACACTGTCACAGTCTCAAGTGGCGGATTAAAAAGGGCGGAGGCTTGATACATGCTCAGTGAAAAACAACACAACACAACACAAATTGCATATCTGTCAGCCTACACTACAGTGACACAATCCATTTTTATTAGTTAGTTGTAGGTTTCATCAAATGTTTGTCATTGATAAATATTATTCTCGATAAGTTGTGTAGTAGAGTAGAGTAGATAGATAAGACTCAAATTTCATCTGTATGTGGAAGAGATTAAATTACACTGTGATTACACACACACTGATCCGATAGCAGCTTTTAACAAAACAATCATCCATCCATCCACCCATGAAACATTTTTCTCAGGACAGATAATAATCAGATTTATTTAGATTTATTTATTGAAAAAACAGCGAACAAAAACGGGCGTGACCTTGTTTTAGTACATCAATGCGATTGGAGTTTAATTATGTCGGATGAGAAAAAAAGGCATGTTAGAATATTTCATTTGGAAATCTAACAGTATTGAATAGTTATTGGCATCCTAGGATGTGACTTATTCGTTGTGGTGCGTAGCGATGAGCTCAGTAAGTGAGACTTGAACATAGGAGTTTACGTCTTGTGTGCGAATGATTTACTACCACCTCTAAACGACTGAATTGGCATCCAGTAGTGTGAATGTCTAGGCTTAATCAATTCACTGCCTACGGCGGATAGCTGTCTCCTATCCGACGTGGATGAAACTCTTGTAATGAGTGTTTGATTGTGACCAGACAGACAGACAGACAGATACAACGCAGAACTTCGTACATAAGCACATCAAATCAGGTTGCCATACCACGTCAGTACAGAGACGTAACTGTCAGTTCAAATCCAAGAGTGATAGCGATAGTAGTAGTTTAAGCAGTAATGGAGAAGATTAGGGAGCGAAGATACATTTAGAAGGAGAAAAATGGAGATTATGAGGAATTTTGGAAGGTTAGAATTAGAGCTATTGCGCGGCAGTTTGCTCTATCCTATTTTACCGGTGTAAAACATTGTCAGTAGGAGTAAAAGTTATTCGTACACTATTAGCAGTCCATCATAGGTGTCTTCAATGCATTGCTCATAAATAGTGAGATTATTAAGTAAACAATGCAGTTGTTAGGAAACGACGAGTACTAGGCAGGGGATGACAGATCGATTAATGAAATATTAACCAATTTGGTCTCGTTTGCTGTTACACTGAGGAAGACTGTTTTTTAAGGAACCTGAAAAGGAAGTTGGATCGATGTTGGTCTTAGCGACCTGGTAGCTTGAGGCCGGTCAAGTACAGCTTTTTTATGGGAAGTTTGTAAAAAGTCAGCTCTGCTCTTCAACAGGCTTTACTGCCGGAGACGAAAAATCAATTCACTGCCTACGGCGGATAGCTGTCTCTTATCCGTCCTGAATGAAACCCTTGTAATGAGTATTTGATTGTGA